TTAAGTGACATGGCTGTTGGTGCCAGATGGGCTGGTCTGAGTATTTTAGAGACTACTGATCTACTGGGATTTTCACGCACAACCATCTCTAGGGTTTACAGAGAATGGTCTGAAAAAGAGAAAACATCCAGTAAGCGGCAGTTCTCTAGGTGAAAATACCTTGCTGATGCCAAAGGTCAGAGAATGGCCAAAATGGTTCAAGCTGATAGAAAGGCAACAGTAACTCGTTTTAACCGAGATATGCAAAAAAGAATCTCTAAAAGCACAACGTGTTGAACCTTGAAGCAGCTGGACTACAGCAGCAGACCACACTGGGTCCCATTCCTGTCTGCTAAGAACAGGAAACTAAGGCTACAATTCACAAGGGCTCATCAAAATTGGACAATAGAAGATTGGAAAAACGTTGCCTGGGCTGGCGAGTCTTGATTTCTGCTGCAACATTTGGATGGTCCGGCCAGAATTTGGTGTAAACAGTATGAAAGTATGCATCCATCCTGTCATGTATTACCAATTTAGGCTGGTGGTGGTGTAATGTTGCAGGGGAAATTTTATTGGCACACTTTGGGAGTGTACGCAAATTCAGAAAATAGTCTCTGATTGCAGTAGAGGTTCCTGGGACAACTAGGCGCTCCATGTTTCATTCCATCTACAGGAATACACCTGCTTCTGTTATGCATTGTCATTTTCCAGCCTCTCACAGCAATGTGCATCAAAACATTCCCCTGCACTCCCCGGTCAATACTTTGTTCCCCTTCTGCCATAGAAATGATAAGGCTCTATGCCAGCTTGCACAAAGATTTTCAACTTGTTGGAAAATTTCTGTTTGTGATAATGAGCACTTCTGACAGCTGGAAGAGCTTGTTATTAATTCTTGCTCGAGGCAAAAACCAGCCTGTAAACTACATGTGAATTTCCTGAATCAGGTAAATGCTGACTGTCAAAACGAATATTTCTGCCATGTGGCAGAGAAACAATTGCTCCAATATGACTTTTACGTTTACAAAGTGCAAAGGGTGGAATTTCAACTAGAGTAAATCAGCGACAAGGAAAGTACAGGGAAATGCTTAGTATGTGAAATGTCCTGCCACATGTTTCCATGCTGACCAGGAAAGACCTGCTGGATTGAAAAACATTTTGCTGTATTTACTTACCACCTTAAGCTGTGTGGATGGTGTAGTTTATAGTTCATGTGCCACCTGGAACTAAACTCACTTACTGCCCTACCACTAACCCACAGCCACTTTATACCACTGCATTCCACTTCCTGCCACCTACTCCTGAACAACTCAATAAATGGCAGAAGAAAGAAAAACAGGACATATCCATTCCTCGCCTTTCTTTGCTACCCTCCTCCTTTGCCTGATATCCAAATATCTGATGGATCAGATAGATATTGCTGCCCTGTTCCCTTGTAGCCTAAAAGCAGAGGATCATCTTGACTCCTCTATAAAGGTTGTGTTCATGTGTATTCACCAGTGTTAATTTTGTTGGCTAATAATGTTCGTCATAGTTTTCATCAACAACACTTTTTCAGTGACTAAAACTGAGTTATGATGGATAAAACTATAACGAAAATATATTGACATTGTAGTCGACTTTCTAAAACTAGACAAAAATGTTAGTAAGAGACGATTTGGGAAGAGATCCAATCAGAACTAATCTCTTTAGACTTCCAGCTTCGGCTTCATCCTGAATGGACGTCTAATAGGTAATATGTGCAATGGCATTACAGCCAACATAGTTTTTTATTTTAATATTTTAGATTTGCACTTCTGCTTGAAAGAATGAAGAATGTCATATGCAAGTTGTTATAATGAATGCATATCCAATTACTGCTCCTTTGTTAAAAATACTCAATTTTATAGTTTCTTTTTAAGACTTGCTTTAAGCTAATTTAAAGATAAATAAAGACAAGTTATATAAATCACAACAGTTAAATCTGTGTCTGTACTGCATGTTCAAACCCTAATACCATAAGTAAGAACAGCTTAACAGATGTTTACTCCAGAAGAATAAAATGAGATTGGAAATTCAAGAGAAATTCTTAAATTACTCTTTAACTAAACCAACTAGATTTTAGTTGACTAAATCTACTGGAGATTTAGTTGACTAAAATCTTATGATATTTAGTCAGCTAAAACTAGACTAATACAAGTCAGATGACTAGAATATGACTAAAACTAAATCAAAATTTGCTGTCAAAATTAACACTGTTGTTCACAGACAGGAATTTATCAAAAATGGAGCAGACAGATTCTGGAGCAGTTGCCCATGGTAACCAATCAGCTTCTCAATTTCATTTTTAAAGCTTAAAGTGACATTAAACCCTCAGATTTTTTAACATAAACCAATACTGTAATGTGTGCCTTACTGTAATCCATGGTTGTTTCCCTTCTCTTTGCTGCTCTTCCTTTTAAATCCTCATGTCATCTCATGCTTGGGGAGAACTTCCCTTTTCAGCTCAGGGCCTCTTCCTGTAGTGCTGGCTCAGGTTACAAGCCTATACAAACATATACACAGACACCGTGTATCCATTCCTGAGACAAGGCAGTCTGCTGCAAAACAGAAGTTCTGCAGAGCATGAGAACAGATACAGATTAAAAAGGAAGAGCAGCAAAGAGTAGGGAAACCACCATGGATTACAGTAAGGCACACATTACACTATTGTTTTATGTTAAAAAATCTGAGGGTTTAATGTCACTTTAACTGAACAAATTGAAGAGGGAAGCTCATTGGTTAATATGAGCAACTGCTCCAGATTCTGTCTGCTCCTGTTTGGATACAAAGTTTCTGAAACATGCATTTCCTAGAAGAGACCTATATTAAGAATAAGCAAGGTTTCTGTTAAAGACAAGACATTACCTGCCAAAGATTGCTTCGATTTGCCTGAAATACATTGCCCCACGTGTAGGTGTTGCCTGCCAGAAAAACACAGTGCAATATGTTACAATTTTTAACAGCAACAATATTTATATAAGAATGTGAGACACTAAGCTCATCTATTCACAAACAAATGTCATAGAAAGAAATGAGAACATTGACATACTTTTAAGACCCCCTCGTGCAGCGAATTCCCACTCCTCCTCCGTAGGCAGCCTTTGTCCCTTCCACTTACAAAAGGCCTGTGCATCACTCCAGCTGACCTGCAGCACTGGGTAATCCAACTTCTCCTTGATCCCTGACCCTGGCCCTGCTGGCTGAAAAAGGATAAGAGAAAATACATATGGATTATAACATGCAAAAGAATGCATGCATCAGCTATAGAATGGGGTAACTATAGATGGACATAATTAGTGCTGCACACACCAACCAGCCAAATAATCGGAGCATCTTTTTAGGAAAACACAACCACCTTTTATGAACGTGCTTCAGTGCATGTTCCAAACAACGTATAGTATAGTGATATAGAAATGGGTAGAACGGTGTTTCTCAAAATGTTTCCAGTTGTGGCACCATTTAAAAGTATGAAAAATCTCAAGGCATCCCACTGTAAAATGTAAAAAAAAAAAACCCTTATCCACGATAAAGGTATGGTATGTATTTTAAGGGGGACCCCATGCAAAAACACAAAAAAAGGGTTCTTTCCTCACATCAGAGTCCTTTCACATTAGAAGTCACCTTTACAATGGAAAGACTTGATGCTATGCAAACATTCTGAGGCAGCACCCTGGTTGACTAAGGCTGGGTAAGCACACCTGCCTGGCAGCACTGGGGTCCTCAGTTTGAATCCTAACCTGGAGACTATCTACATGAAGCTTAGATGTTCTCCCTGTGGTTGTGTGAGTTTGTGCCAGGTTCTCTGGTTTCCTCCCACACTTGAAAGACACACTGGTAAATTAAATGGCTCTTGCCTAAAGTGGCCCTAGTGTATGTGTGCATATGAGATAGGAACCTTAGATTGTAAGCTCTGTGAGGGCAGGGACTGATGTGAGTGTATAGTATGTAAAGTTCTGCACAAACTGACATCACTATATAAATACCTGTAATAAATATCATTAAAAAAAGACATTGATGTATATCGCATACAGTTTTTATCTACATGTGTGTTAATAGTTAAAAAACACAGCAGTCTGCCTTTTTGACATTTTAAAAACAAGTACTTTTTATGTTAAAAGGGGGACTAAAAGGGAACTTAAAAGAAAAATATGAATAACATACTCTTTTCCTTCAAGAACATATACTTTCCATCCAAAGATGAAACGAATTACTTCAACTTCCATTTGTTGCACCAAGCAAACGTTCTAAACAACTTAAATGGTATTACAAAGAATTTATATGTGAAAAAAACACTTGAGAAAAAAAATGGAAGTGTAGGAAACACCTACCTGACGCCAAAATGCCCTTTCTATAGGAAGCCACCATGGTGCAGACTACGATAAAAAATAAATAAAGGTCAGTGATTTGAAAACATAAAATTTGTTTTAATTGTGTACTGAATAATGCCTGACTGTAGTAACAAGACAACAAAAACACATAAACCTCACACACTCCAACAAATCCCCAGTATTGCTTTTATTGGCAGGTTTGACTTATTTATGTATAGACATCTTACTGGGGCAGGAAAAGACATGTCAGTCACTGGGTTTCCAAGACATGAGATGCGTACAAGGTCCAACAAATCCCCAGTATTCCTTTTATTGGCAGGTTTGACTTATTTATGTATAGACATCTTATTGGGGCAGGAAAAGACATGTGTCAGTCACTGGGTTTCCAAGACATGAGATGTGATTTCTTTTGGGAGGTGTGAACAAGGTCCAACAAATGCGCAGTATTCCAAGGCTTCATAGCAGTTCCATTATTACACCTCACCAATATGGTTTTACCCTTCTTTGAACTAAAAGTTAAAATCCTCTTTAGAGAAAACAACCAAAAAAAACAGACTAGTTCCCTGGAAATTGTTTTACTCTGATAATTAAAATGTGTATGCATGATTTGCTCTCTAATTGATTTAGCAATATGGCGTTGTGTGTTTCTGTCAGTCTAAAGATTAAACTATTAACTCAGCTACCTACGGACTTTAGATGACGCTCAACCTATCCAGCTTGATCGAGTGATGGATCTTCCGTCTAGGAGTTCCATCAACTAAAGGCCCCTTTTGCACGTGTGGCATCCCTTCTGATCAGCAGGGGATCCCCAAAATTGGAGCAGAACAGAGAGGAGGTTACTTTTGTGACATCTGTGATCAGTTTCTTCCTCCATCATGTAATGGAGGATAGAAACAAAACTTGGCAAGACCTGTGTTAGTTTTCTATGGAAGGCGGGTATATACAAATGTGCCTCTCTTTACATTCTTTTACCTATGATCTTTCATGTTTAGGTCCAAGAAAGCAAAAAAGAAAGCAAACCTTTTCAGTTTTCCAGACCTAGATGGCCTAGGCGGTAATGCAATGTAAAAGGACTTACCTCTGTGTACATGTGCCTGTCTATATAATTATATTGAGGATCCGATCAAAAATTACAGGCAGATCTGACCTGAACGGCTGTGTGAAAGGGGCCATTTCACACAGCCAGGGCAGAAGGCGGTTGTCATACCTACCACTCTATATTCATATCAAATTGCTAGCTTGACAAAGCCACCCTTGCTAGTTTATGTAGTTTGCTGCAGCATCTTCTAGATTTCCTACTCCCCAAAGGTTTATTGGATATCCTTAGTATTTAGTGACCACTCCTGTTCATAGAAGTTATTAGTGCACTGACTCACAGTCTTCCATCTTCAGTTTTCAAGGTTTAATGGAATATCTAGAATGGACTTTCAGCAAAGTATCACAACGACTAATCTCAGCATTTATATCTGGATGTATTTCCTGGAGTTTTAATAGTGAGAAACAGTGATGTCTGAAATATACAGATTTTCATGGGACCAAAATATGTTTCTCACTTAGGGTAAGTATCTCTAAAATTCTCAACTTACCATCACAAAAGCCTGGCCCATGTATGGCTAGTATATCAGAAACTCAGTGTTACCCTTTTATGTATGTAGATGTGTAAGGTGTCACCATATATAAATACCTGTAACTTCTGAGTAACTTTTTTCTTTAGTTCATCTGTCACAAAATCTTCAAAGACAAAACTCCATCCAAATGTCTCTGCTTCTGACTTATATTTTGTAGCCCGTACAAATTCTCTGGAAAAAAAAGAATAAAGTGAAACCCATTACCAATACTATATACTAATATGATAACATGGAATTTTTAAAGAATAAATCCAACTATATTCACACTTTGACTTGATATGTGCCTGTAACTGTCACATCACTATATACCAGTGATAGGCAACCTTGGCACTCCAAATCCTATCATGCCTCTGTCTCTGGGAGTCATATCTGTGGCTGTTAGAGTTTTGCAATGCCTTGTAGTTTTACAACAGCTGGAGTGCCAAGGTTGTCTACGCCTGCTACATACAATTTGTTGTTTAGTTATACTGAATTAAGAAGAGTAGTCAATAGAAATAAGGGCACTTTTATTGGACTAGGGGATGGCAGATGGGTGAAGTTTAGCTCTAAAGTCAGGGAAAACTAACCTCTTAGTAACAAAGCAAAACCATTTGACGAAGGGTGTAGGGTTTTCTGAGTAATCGAGGTAATAACAACAACCTTGTGGTGTCTGCTGTAAAACGGGTCATAGCTTTATTTTAGATACCCTGTAACAAGAAGGTCTCCATAATACAGCTGGCTCATAGATTAGACTCCACAACAGAGAAAAAGTGTTGGCTGCCATTTTCCCGCTGTGTTGAGGTTGATATAAAAAGCTGCACTGTCACACATATAGAGAAAAAGTATGACTGTCATCTCAGCGCACAAGAAGGAAGAATAACACTTCAAACATTAGCCAGGATGGTTAAAACCATATGCTTCGTTTTTTTATACACTGCCATTTGGTTATGCAGGGAAAAGTTGATTCTGAACACCTGAAAAGACTGAAAGACCCTAAAATAAATGTTTTTCATCTAATATGTTCTTTCACTGGAAAGTGCATATTAGACTAAGGTTAACAAGGTCCATCTCCACAATAAGAGTCATCCAAAGACTTTCCAATCCATCACTGTGATGGCCTAGAGATCTGCTGTGACTGTTTTCTGTACAGCCAGGGCTCGTTCACACTAGCCCACATGGTTAAAACCGCTCAGTTTTAGCGTGTTGGCTGGTGTGATGAGACAGGTCCAACGGATGGGCAGTGTGACGTGTTGAGACAGCGGATCACACTGGAAGAATGGTTCCCAGCCCTCCATGATAAAGAAATCAATGAGGTCACTGTGTCGCCCTGAGGAAGGGGCCCTGTGTGACTCTGAAACATTGTCTTTCTTTGACCCATGTAATGCTATGTATATAAATGTGACTTGATTTCTTCATCATTAAATGCTAGTGACCCTTGTACCATTGATTCGGTTACACACAGCGCCATCCATTGCTGTCATTACAAGCACCCCCCCTTGCTATTTTAGTCAGTACGCTGTTTGGAATGCGCTTTGGGACTGTATTATCTACATCACACTGTTCACTTTTTTAACTTAATTTGGAGTGTACAAAGCGTATACTCCGTTCAGGTCTCCACAAAGCAGCATGGAAGCAGCACTGTATAAAAAATGCAGCATATCTGTATTTCTTCACATCACACCCACATTGTAGTGTGACTAGGGCACATAGAAAACAAATCTTTTCTCTGTACCCTAATGGTGAATTACATTGTTCAGTTGTTGAAAAACGCCAGTCACCACTGTGGCTATCAGACTGTAACATGAATGTGTAGATATCATTTGGATCACTAAATTCAGTGTGGAACTACCTTATGAGCCTGTGTGAGCTAAAGTATTTGATTCATGATCCATAATTCATAATTCACATGACAGTTTTGACAACATGAGCAACACCTTAAAATGTGTTACGTGATCAGGCATCTCCATTTAAAGCAGAACTCCAGGCAAAAATGTTCTTAACTCTAGGGGGTACCCCTGCACTGCAAGGGTTAACTGCTCTATTATGTCTAGGTCTAAAAAAGTTGTACTCACCCAAACCATGGAGTCGGCTGGCTGCTTCTCAAGTCACTGAAGCACGTCTTCTCTGCTACTGCAGTGATAGTATGTCCCTTGGCGCCCTCACGTCCTATACACATTGAATAAAATGTCCTTAGACCACTGGAGTGGAGGGGGAGAGAGGCTCCAGAGACAGGTCTAGCAGCTAACCAGCTCTAAGGATTGGGTGAGTATAACTTTGCTTGTGTATCCACTACTTGTCGCAATCCTACCGCACTGGAACATTTTATTACCATGCATTCCTGTGCGGCCAATCATACTGCGCGCGGGGGACGTGTCTGTGGTGCCATTGACTTAAATGGCACTGCCACGCCCCCTACAGAACGCAAGGAGACTTTATATATGCGATTCCTTGCGTTCCAGGCACGGGACATTGCAGTAGATGTGTGGGCTGGTGGAAACAAGCCCTAAATTATATCTACAAACCTGAAAACAAAAAATTGGTAACCCAACCTGAAATTCTTGTTGGTGACCGGATATTTGTCAATGGCAAATGGCTTCACCGTTACTTGCTTTGGTAGACCCTCTCCATCTTTACTGTCAGGAGCGTCTGTTCCCATCTTGAACTTTCCCCCATCAAGTTTAACCAATGTATCATGTTGTTCCTGTCCTGCAATGTCAAATCACACAAATAGCCTCATAAACCAAAAAATAACTTATAAAGAACTATGTTCCTCTGGATTTTTCTGTCAATTGTACTCTACAGGCTCATCTGAGCTGGTCAGAAATCAAATCATTAACATAAAGCCACATATGATTATGAAAAGATTAAAAGAAGAAGTAAATGAAATGAATAGCCCGTTACAAAACCAGATTTTGCTGCAATATTCACCTTCATCCCAGAACTGTGGCTTACACTACTTTTTTGCCACTACATGTCCTCAGTGTTTTAGGTTGAACGAAGGACATCAGTCAACCCACTTCCTCTGGGTGCAGGCTGTCATGTACCTGTTCCCCAGCCTGTTTCTGGGTAATGAAGGAGAAGTAGCACAGTGATGAATTCATCTCTCTGCTCTATCCTCCTATCAACATAATCCTTATCAGCACATAAAGTGATGGGGTCCTTGTGCTGCTTCTCCCTCTTCCACTCCCATCTGGTGCACCATTTCCAAGCTCCATGTTTTGACCCTCTCAATAGCTATTAAAAGAGAACTATGGGGTAAGTGTTCCTCCCCATAGTTCTCCTAAGTGTCATGGGAAGACCCAAACTAGTGTCCTCCTGTCACCCAAAGCTCGGTATACCGTGAGCTGTACCGAGACCGCTGCAGCCAGGACGGATCCCGACATTACTGTCGAGATCCACCCAGCTGAGTGATTGACAGCTGCCTCTGCCTATCTAGAGGCAGAGCCAGCTTTGACCGCCCCCTCCCCCTTCCGTTCCACCAGTCAGTGCTGGAGGATTGGAGTGGGGAATCCCTGCAGGGAGCGGTGAGTGACAGTCCCGGCTCTCAGCAGGGACAGGATTGAGAAGTGAACGAGCGACGGTATGTGTTCGCTCACTTCCCGATCTATTGAGCCGACGTGTGACAGTTTCATAGTCACACGTCGGCTCAAACTATGAGGCTGAGTGATTTTCACTCGCCTCATAATTCTCCTTTAAGTATACCCAAATATGTGATATAAAATGTGTTTGGGTCCAGTGTTGCATTACCGAGAAACTGTCAGTCAAACTATCACAGCACTGAAAAATAGCCTGGCAATGAAGGCAGTGTGACAACATGCGGGTCCTGAAAAGCAATGAGTGGGGGCTTGGTGTGAACCCCTTTCCTCAGAGTTCGCCCAAGGCACTCAAAAGTTTGAGCGCCACCCCTCTTCCGGCCCAATCAGTGGCGGCAGTGTCATTCTCCGCCCCTTTATTTCATTTAGCAGCAGGGAGGGGAATGCGCCTACCCGCAAGTGATTGGGTGGGTGGTTGGGGTTGTCGGTCACAGTGTTGGGTGGGCTGGGTTCACGCCAAGCCCCAGGTGAGCTCTACTCCTTAAGTGGTTAAAGGTTAAATTTACTTTTTGGACCATGTTTCATGTATTCGTGGTGTAACAAAAAACATGGTCACATTGCCACCTTTCCCCACCACTTACATGAGTCGTGTCATTCTTCTCCCCCTAGGCTCCTGCCATTATTTTTTTTATTTGACGCAGCTGTTTGTGGCTCCACTCACACAGTCATATAATCCAATCACAGATCCTTTAACAGGATATTTCAATGGAGAGAGTACAAGTGCCATTGCAGCGGAGGGACCTGTAGTTCTTAAAGCACAACTCCAGGCAAAGCATTTCTTAACCCTTGCAGTTGGGCAACCCAGGCACTACAAGGGTTAAGTGCTTGTTTGTGTCTAGGGAGGAAAATCAAAAAGTTATACTCACCTGATCCTTCGTCTGGCCTATTGTCCCTGCGCTTCCTCCAGCCTGTCTCCTCCTCCACTGCAGCAATGATATGTTCCTTGGCATCCTTATGTCTATACACAGTGAATAAGACGTGATGACTTAGGGACCTTACACCACTGCAGAGGAGGAGAAGACAGGCTGGAAGGACCGATCGAAGAACAAGCCAACTCTGAGGATCAGATGAGTCAGTATAACTTTATTTTCCTCCTTAGGTCTTCTTTAGTGAAGAACAAGTGCAGTGTCATCACTACATCCTTCCCTCCTGTCCCAGAACTGGAAGGCCACACCATAGTACACACAGGGGCAGGAGGAGCAGGAGCATTGCCTCCACCATCCACTAATCATGGTTACAATGCTTTTCAGGATCACATGCAAACAAATTATAAATGCTCATTTGTTGTTTATTTGATTTTTTTTCCCCCAAGAAGTGGAGTTTGCCTTTAAGTTTCCTTTTCTGGACATACAGTATAAACAAGGAGACAGATCCCAGGAAAACGATTATGTAGTCATCCCCAGTGGGATGAATTATGTATCTGTAGGCTGGCCATTATCTATTGATGATTCAAATACTCTAAAAAAAAGTGCTGTGTTTAGAAAAATGTCTCCCTTCTCCGATCTTTTCCCCTTCTCTAATCAGCTCCCTCTCTATAATCTATGGCGGTGAGATGTCTCACATACAGCAGTGACTGAGCTGTGATGGCGCCTTGTAGATCACCTCACCCTGTGATATCCCCAGCACACACAGCAGCGCCAGCACTACCCGACTCGTCCTGCTCATCCTCCAGGCTCACTCAGCTCCGCTTCCCTTCATCAACCAGCCCACACACACAGCACTAACCCGCTACACCCGGAAGCTAATATCAGCCCCGCCATCATGGAGGGGGAGACAGTGTCCCCACCTCGACGCCATCTTGCATGGGGCGAGTGGAGACTGACAGACGGGTTTTAGTAGTCGGCAGTAAAAGATGCCGATATGTCTGTTTTCCCAAGCGAAATAAATAGTTAATTCACAAGAGAGCGTGTGTTCCATACTCCATGTGACTTGAATGGTAAAATAGCAGAGTGAAAATACAGTAGGCTACGTTCAGCAAAGGCTGTCCCTAGAATGAGGCAGTTGCCTCAGGCAGCATCTCATTGGGGGGGAGGGCAGCAATAATGTCACAGGTTGCTAAGAGCTCTTAGCAACCTGTGAGGTTCTGCCCAGCTTCCTTCCCAGCTCACTGACCTCACTCACCAGTTGCCAGGAACTGAGTGGGATGCTCTGACAGGAATCTCGCCAAGCTCCTGGAAACCAGTGAAGTCAGTGAGCTGGACAGAGCCGCCCGCCGAGCGCACCACAAGGCACTGTGCACCGCATAGTGCCTTGTGAGCCCTGATTGGCCAAAAGCCAGGTGCAAGACTTTGCCCAATTAGGGCACATTACACTGTGAGAGCCATGATAGGGCTAGGTAATGATGATGACTTTGCCCAATCATGGCTCACCTGTCAGATGCCGTGCAACTGTAAACAGTTTGGCGGAGCTAGCTTTCACCGCTAGCTCCGCCATATTGTGTATATTTTGCCAGCATCTGTCAGAATGCCCTTCTGCGACGGGAGTTCGTCGCGAGCGAACAGGTCGGTGTGCGTCGGGTTTTTAAAAAACAATTTCTACTTATTTTTCCTTGTTTTATTTCTTATGACGTCGTCGTGGACAAGGCTTGGCGTCGTGATTGACTCTGGATTACGTCGCTGGATCCATTTTTTTTTATTTATAAAAGATGTCAAAAAAATGTCTTTTTTTTTTCAAATAAAGGATTTTTTCAAAAGTCTGGCCTCTTTTGTAAAACTTTAATTCAACCCTTTAGTGTATGGGTAGGGGTACAAGTACCCCTTACTCATTCACAAGGGGGGGGTGCATCTTGGTGCCCCTTTATTAAAGGGGTACCCTGATGTGAATAAGTCCCCTGTCCACACCCCCACAATCAGGGCTTGTGGGGGAAGAGGCCCTTGTCCCCATCGGCATAGAGACAAGGTGCTTTTCCAGAAGCAACCAGGGGTCTGGTATTGTTTGGGAGAGGGAGCCCCACGCTTTTTTTGTTTCTTTAAATGTAATTTTTTTCTTTAGAAATGTCAGTTTTGCTGCAGCAGGTTGTATACATTGTACAGATGTGGCACTTTACAGGCAGTTTAAGGGGTCCCCCCAGGCATGATATTTAAAGGAATTTTTCATTTTTATTGTTTCACTTTAAGCAATGTTAAAATCACTGCTCCTTTAACCACTTCAAGACCAGATGTTTAGACCCCCTTCCCATCCAGGCCATTTTTCAGTATTCAGCGCTGCGATACTTTGCACATTACTGACGTTTATTCCGTCATGCAACGCTGTACTGAAATGAATTTGACACCATTTTTTAGGGACAGATAGAGCTTTATTTTGGTGGTATTTAATCACCACTGGGGGTTTTATTTTTTATTATAATTAGAAAAAATTACTGAAAATTTTGAAAAAAAAACTTTTTTTAACATTATGTTAGGAAACATTTATTAAAAAATTTTTTTTTTTTAAAGTGTTTTTTCATTGATACATGTTCCTCAGGGCAATACCCGAATCCCCATACACTCTTTTTATGGCCATTAATTTGCATATAAGGCTTCAAAAAGCAGACAGTTGATTTTCAAAGTTCTACCCCCATAGACTTGCATTGAGTTTGAGTTCAAACTTTTTCCATGTTCTAAAGTTCAAATTCAGTCCATCATTAGTTGCACTGTTAGGTGTGCTGTGCTGCCTTTATTTCTTAATGGCACCTTAACACACCTAGCTATTGCAAGTGCAGTGCATCGCACCACATGGTAACCTATGCGTTGTGGTGCAATGCATTTAAAAAAAAAGGTGCATGCACTTCTTTGAGTGTGATTTAGCTGCAGTAGGCAGCCCATTCAAATGCATGAGCTGCCCTATCACAACCCTCTATACTGTGCCCCGTCCAGTTCCTGGCAACCGGTGAGGTCAGTTAGCTGGGCAGGAAACCAGACAGAGCCTCACAGGTTGATAGGAGACCCCCACACCCTCCATCCCCCCCACCCCCCCAATGAGATGCCACCTGAGGCAAAAATTAGCATGGTAGTAATGCACTACCATGTGTTAAGGGGCAGCTTTATAAAAAGAATTGTGCATGTCTAATTTTTTGAGATGTTTTGGTGTGTGGGCAGCACACTGCAAAAACAACAAACAATTCAGTGGCTTTACAGACTCCTCACTTTGCTTTTGCCCTTATGTAGGCACGAGATAGCTGCCTTAAAACAACTGGAGTTGTTCAGATGAACCAACCAGAATTCTTGTTTCATTTTTCCCATAGCAAAATGAAACCTGATTGGATATTATGGGTATCTTTTTTAGAGAAGTCTTCTTTGTTCCATCTTTAATAAATCAGATCATCTGTGTCCAATATGTAACCAGCAACCAGTAGATGCATGTACATACAAACCTCTGCAGCTGTACTACAGCATATTATGGGGTTACCACATGCCCCTGTTGGTCAGCTTCTGTCTGACAAGCTGCAGATGCAGAATTGGAAGCTTTTCTATTTCCAGCACTGACTGGGTCCATTGCAGCAGTAGTGTGCAGTGATTAGAAGTAGGAATAAGCTCAGCTTTGGACCAAACCTGCTCCAAACCTTAACTCTTCCAATGACAGAAGCTACATGCGTCTCCCAGCCAATCAGCTGTGGATGCGGGCATTCAACACCCTACAGCTGACTTGGAAAATGCACACCACAGCGCTCAGCAGATGATGACCAATGATATTCTCCACCAACAATTGTTTGCAGGCTGCCGTCATCAAAAGGCCACTGGGAAGTATTTCTCACAAAACATGCTGTAGCACCCTGCTAATAAGAGTGCTGAAATATATCTATAGTCTATGTTCTGTTCAACTGTTACAGAACAATCTGTGAAGCTGTGTCTGCCTGTTGATGGGTGTGGTAGCACACAGGGCAGAACAGCCAATGGGGATTGCTTTAGGCATTTATGTCTCCCAGCCAATCACTGTGGGACAGTAGCAGTGGTGCATGCTGGGAGAGGAGATAAATGCTGAGTGTGGCTGATGAAACTCTCTCTTCCCTCCCCCAGCGCTCTCCTGGGGGCAGGTTCCTGCTGAAGAGACAGAATGGACTAGGCCTGAGCCTGGGGCCTAGGCCTGGACACTAGGGCCTGAACCTGGAGGCCCAGTGGTCAGCCACTCATGTCTGAAGTTGAACCTGAACAAGAACCTTGACAGTACTGCTTGCCAGAAGTTCTCCACACAGATTGCCGGTACAGCCTAAAGGTCCAAGTCTGTAGTGGCAGCAGTTACCCTGTTTCCCTGAAAATAAGACCTACCCTGAAAGTTAGACCTAGCACTATTTTTCAAGATTTCTGTAATATAAGACCTACCCCGAAAATAAGACCTAGTTTGGTAGCATGTGAGGGGGAGCTTGAAGAGCAGGAGAGATGGTATCGGCCTGCAGGGACATACTGTATTAAGGGGATGACAGAGTACTCCCTCCGGCCAGCGCAGTGACAGGGAGCACTCCAGTACCAAACTTCACCAACTGCTGTCCCCCTGAAGGCACTGCTTAATGTAATGGTACTGTATTGTAATGTGTACCGGTAAATGGTACCGTACTTTACCCGGCTGTCCCCTGTCTGATGTCCCCACTGCTGCACCGCTGGTACCACTGTCCCTGATGGCAAAGGAAGCCGGCGCTGTAGAAAGCAAGGCTGCGGTGGCGGAGGGAGCAGAGCCGCATTAGCCAATACTTCCTTTATAGCGCCAGTTACTGTGACAGGCGGAGTGATACCAGATAACTTTAGATTGTTGCACATTAAAAAAAAAAATAAGACATCCCCTGAAAATAAGACCTAGTGTGTTTTTTGGGGGCAAAAAAAATATAAGACAGTGTCTTATTTTCGGGGAAACACGGTACTATGCTCGATTTCAAGTACTAGGAGTCTACCTCATCCTGGATGTGTCTGACCCTCTTCCTCTCTCCCTGGAGTTTCAGAAATAAAAGAGAATCATCTTGGAGCTATTGTCTGGACTTCAATTTGTCGGTAACCACTGGTGGTGGTAAGTGCTATTGGGGCAGTCATGTGTTTTAATAATCCCTAGACAGGCTATGGAAGACCTGATCATTCAGCGGCTCCTTCGGGGGTGAGCGCTACAATGCAAAACCAAAAAACACATGAATGGTACAAGGCAGACCCCACACCCCATAGTTAGCAAGGCAGCTTTGTGTGGGGGTCTGCCTTGTACCATTCATTCAGTGATTACCATGTGAGTAGTATTTTATGTCAGCTTGTATGTTCATTGATTAATAAACGGTATTACACGAGGACAAAGCGCTGTCTGTTTGTTTGTTTTACCCGCAGCTGACTATAAACAAAGGGGTGGGATGCTTGTGCAGACACGATCTTCCTTATATACTGTAGCCACATTGCCATATTAGGTAAATGTAATTTACATAATATAGCCATGTGGCCATATATGGTCAATGACATCACTGCATCCTGCCCCTTTGCTTAGATTAGGCTGTGGGCGGGGAATTCCCCCTCTACTGTTGAGTAGGCGGCAGTGGAAGTTGTTTTCTTCTGAGTTTGGAGGAGCTCCTTTTGTTTTTGGAGGAGCTCAGGTTTGGATCAGGTTTAGGGCCCATTCACACCACATCCAGATCATCTCCAGACCAGACCAGATTGTTTCCAGACCCAAAATTCATCCTAATGTATCCCTATGCTATTTCTGGCCTCTGTTCACACCAGCACAGTCCATTCCGGACCAGACCAGAAAAATACTGTATGTCTCA